GCTCCAGCACAGAGGGCGTGTAGGGTTGTGCCCGGGTCCCACGAAGGGGAGGACGCGGGTGGCGGGCCGGGCCGGCGCGGCGCGGCGCGGGGAGGCGGAGGCGGAGCGGGCGGCGGCGCCCAACTTTGCGCGCGGGGGAGCGGGGCGCAGCCGGCCCGCAACTCGGGCGGGTCCCGCCGCGAACAGGTGCGGTGCTGCCCCGCCCCGGGCACTTCTTCCGCGCCCCCTCCTCTGCTGGGGCCCCCGGGCACCTGTTTGCACCCCCACCCCTTGGCTTCCTCCTCTGCTGGGGCCCGGCGGCTGGGAAAGTTGCGGGGCACAGAGGCGAGTGGGGCTGGCTCAGCTGAGGCACAGGGCGCAAGGGAAGTTTCTGCCAGGAGGGGACAGCGTCGTGGGGCAGCTTGACTGGGGGTTGCTTGAAGGGCTGGACAAGCCACTCTGACCCCCCTCCCCTCAGCCTCCCCTGCTAACGCGAGGCATGGGTCTTGGACGGCTGCTGCTGCCTCTGCACAGGCTCCAAACACCCTTTGAGAGGCAAGCCTGTCGCCACCGAACCCTGCTTTTGGGCAGTGTCCTCTGGGTCCTGGGAGTCATTCCCGTGGGCGCTGTCCAGTGCGCTCTGCTCGGCGTCCCCTTTTGGATCCCTTGTTTTGCACCTCTGGTCTCGCTCCCTTCCCTGCTTTCCTTTTACTTTGTCCCAAGGAATTAGTTGCTACTTTCTCACTAGCCTCCCTTCTTAAGGGAGGTTTACAGTTTTTCTTGGTGGGCATTGGCCCACGGTACCTTAAAGTCGCAAATTGGGCTTGTCACCACAGAAGGCCACTTCGCACACAGGGCGCTTCCTGTGGGGCAAGGACGGGAGGGACAGCACAGCGCCGCCGACAGAGGCAAAACACACTGCTGGAAAGCACTCAGGGCCGAGGCCAAGGAGGGCCACAGGAGAAGCTGTGCGGAGCAGAGTCTTCAGACACATCTGTTGATGGGCTAGGTCTGCCCTTCTGTCAGCTGCAGCTGTGCTTTGGGGCCTGGCTTCCCCGAGGTGGCCAGTGTTAAGAGTTAAGACTTGCAAAGACGCAGATCTTTTAAAGCATTGGGTTTGTATTCAGCAGTACCTAAATGGCTTGGGCTCCCAAGGTCCATTTTTAAAGCCCAGGCCACTGGGTTCTCTTGAGAAAGTAGGCTCTCAACTTCAACACGGTGGATGGTTCAAATATATTTCCCCGCTTATTTTCACTCATTCAGCACTGTCATGTCTGGGTTTCCTCTTTCTGGTCCATTCACATCACCAGGCAGTGTCCACTGGCTCCTTGGACTCAATCAAGGGCCAGTGGGCGCTGTCCAGTGTACTCTGTTTGGTGTCCCCCCTTGGTGCACTCATTTTGAACCTGCAGCCCGCTCTCCCATCCATCCCTGTTTTCTTCTTTAGTTGTCCCCGGTAATCACTTGATGTGCACTTAGTAGCCTCTCAGGTTAAGGGGGGGATTTTAGCTTTACTTGGCGGACAACCGTCCACGCTCCCCATGCACATCAAATAGGCCTGTCATGTTTGGGTTGCTAACCATTCAAAAGCATGCTCGTTTCAAAAATAACATTTTCTATCACAATTGCCAGTGGGTGGAAATGATGAAAACATTCCAGAGGATGTGAGATTTTTCTAAAAGTTTATTACAAAACTCCAATTTTAGAACAGATTGGAGATGATGTTTTACTGTCCCAAGGCATGGTTAATGGTCTAACCAATTTTTCTTTTGAGGTTTGGGTTTTCATTTATTTATTTATTTTTGTATAATGTTGGCAGATGCTATTTGGCACATAACAGATTTACCTCTAAATAAAATATGTCAATTTACACTACAGTAATTGTTTCCCTGCATCTTCCTCCTCAATATTTAAAGATACACAAGACTGAACTGCTCCACAATTTTGTTTCTTTTTTTTTGTAATGACTTTGGAAAATGCTTAGAAGCTAGTGGAAGGTAAAAGTAATAGTGGTGCAGGTAGCCGTGTTATAATATGTAGCAGAGTTATAATTTTTTGTTACTTTGTAGCTAAGCAATCTGGTGATGGTATGAGTGTTGGATGCTTAGTTTGACTTCTGATGCCTTAGAATATATTTAGGTGGTTTTGGATCCATATAACATTTGGAGGAGACCCACAGGTGTTTTCCACTTGGAGTTCAACATTTGGGTAGGGGCTGTGGGCTATTTATTTTGCTACTGATGCCAAAGTATTTAAAGATGGCATTACATGCAAGATGATATTTAAAGAAAGGGTGGAACATTTTGAAAAAATGCTGCAGACTCTTTGGAAGCCAAGGAACGTGTATTCAATTTAAGTGCTTAAAACCAAGCAGAAAAAAATATAACAAGGTACAGTCAGACTGTACTGAATTGTCCAAGAGGAACTAGGTATGGTGTTGTGGTATTTTTTTGGTTGTGAAGTGCTAGTGATTCTTTCACACAAGAGCTAATTTGCTGATTTGGTTAGGTTTTTAATGCCCATGTTGCATACTCTTAAGCTCAGGGGTAATGTCTTTATTTCTCTTGCAAAGCATTATGGACAGTTTATGCAAAATTGAAGAATAGCCATCCCCTGCCCTCCTGATGAGTACATGAAAAGTGGGGAAGGAATTATACTTAAAGCTGTGAAACCTAACCTATCATTGCAAATCAATCCTGCAGCGTTGCCAGCAATAGCATATTGCAAATGTTCAAACGTGTTAGAAATCGCACATTGGGAACAGCTAAACCGAAGAGTTTTTAACAAACTGCTGTTTGGATCCTGTGAGGTAGTGTCACCACAGGTGATGTGTTGGTGCATAACCATCCACATGCAATTTGGGGCAAGGGAGACAGAAGTGCTCACAGCCCTTCACTGATCCAGCCCGAGTCCCAGCAGCTGCTTTGCAACTTCTCAGGAAGCACTTGAGTCCTGATCTGAAGCACCCCCAGCTGTTTTATTCCAGGCCAAGGCTCCTTTTACACAGTATGCCTCAGTCCTGCCATGCAACACCTCCATCTGTTCCAGATCTGTCCCTTCTTCCTCCCAACTCTGCTGTAGCTCCTCAGCCATAGCAAGAGGCTTGTAGCATCACTGGCTCGGCTGTGCTGAGGCATCTTCCAAACAGATTGCCATTTGTGTCAAGCTGTGTGGTTTCATGACATGTAGATCAATCATTTCACTTGTGACCTTACTTTAGTCTCCAGTGGTAAAGCACATATGCCTCTTGGATTTCTACTGCGGGCCTCTTTCTTTTAGAAAATGGGCATATCTGATTCTCTATTTCTTTTGCCCTCAGTACTCTTCAAGTGGGTTTTTTTTTCCTGTGCAAGATTCCTGCCATGGTGGGATTTCAGAAAGATCTCTGGCACAGTAAAAATTTAGCTTCTTTGAAACAGTGGCATAGGTAGTCCCAGTGCTGCCTAAACAGCACATTAAGACCCTTACAATTTCTTGTTGCTTTCTTAAAAGGTGAGCCACTATTATTCTACCAGTGGTACAAGTGTAGAAACTGAGGCCTCGAGTCATTTACTCAAGGTCAGTGGTGGAGCCATGACCAGAGTCCAGTAGTTCTAGCTCCACTACTCCAAGTTCCAACTGCTGGAGAACATATAAATTCATGTGGCAGGATAAGCAATATTCCTAATGGTACTCTTCACGGATGTTCACTACTAAATTGTGGTGAGTCATCTATATTTAGCAGGATGCTACTATCATCATGCTTTTTAGAGTAAAGTGCTTTTAACACAGTTTATTTCAAGGAGAAATGCACATGCTGAGAATCTATTCTTTGGCATTTTCTCCTTGTTGAGCATTAATGCTCCTTTCTTTTTATAAAAGTTTAGAGTGAAATTTAGCTTCTGAATGTAAGCAAGGACAGGTATAAGGAGGTTACTTACCTCATCATTTAATACCACAGTGGTTTTTCATTAAGTAAAGAACACTCCTGAAATGTTTGTTTGATAGGACAGAAAGCATTGCCCCACCACCTCCAACTTCGTTATGAGGCGGGGAATCTGAAGCGTAGAGGGAGGCTTTGGCTTGGTTGGTGCTGTATAGAGTATTCTCTCAGCTCTGCATCCAAACTCAGAATTGCTTTGCTTACAGTCATGTTCTTAGACTATTTTCTTTTTCTGGAACTCTCATGCTCTTCAGTGCTGTGGTAAGGGTTTACCATTATTAGTTATTTACAGTGGACTGATTTTTCCACGTACATTATTATCTGCTTAGTTCTAGTGGTCCATCACATTCATTCTGGGTTCATACTTCAGTCATTTGCAGAGCTACGCTGAGGACAAAATTCTGTTGCACAAACGATTTTAAAGTTAGACTTCATTCTGAATTGAAATGAAAACTAAAACTTTGAGAGTCTCCAAGGGAACACTGTGAAAGACATTTAATTTCTGGCCAATCAAAATACTTTATTTCCACCTTAACTTTTTGTAACATTTAATGCAAAATAAAGCATCCTAAATAAGACATCATTTCAAAAGGCAAAATGTAAATGGTTCATTCCAGAAACATGAAAATATTGAACCTTCTTTCCTGTTTTTTTTCTCTCCTCAGAAACAAAATTCTGGTGAAGCTGTATCCAATTTGGTCAGAATACAATCTGGTTTCTGCTAAAGTTTCTCTAGGCAACACTAGTTATTTTTTTTGTTTCTGAAGGAGGTGATAGGATTAAAAATGATTAAAACTCCAACTCCTCATGACCAGTAATATTTGGAAACATTGTTTTGCTTTAATAAATATTGATCTTCCCATCCTTCCTCCTCATCTTCTGTTCTGACTGCTGCATGTAAACACCTCATATACAGATGCTATGCTGCTTGTGTCCTTCCTTATTCATGTCTAGGGAGAGTCCAGTTTGCACCAAAATGAGCTGATGGTGTAACATGAAATAAGATGATTTTCAATCAGCAAAATACAATTTTAAAAAGCTGCTAATCTGTGTTTCACCTTCTGCAGCAGTTGTTGGAAGAGAATAAAAACAGAGCTGATAGATTTGACACAGCCATTTTATTACTTGTGCATATGCAACATCATGCCTTCTGTCTGGATATGCACACTCATTTGCCTCTATTCATGCAGTTCTATCCAAGTGCAATTCCTGTAGTAGAGAAGCCAGAGTGCTCATTTAGGAATTAAAAGCAGTATATCATTATTTCTGCCTCTGGTCTTCCTGAGTTAACACAGCTCTAAGAGTGTGAGCTGCAGTCTGTCGTCTTGTATGCTGGCAGCAGAAAGTTGGTGTCTAGGTTCTAGGCTGTGACATTTGTACACTGGTTGTCTTCAAAACACAAAGGCTAAAGAAATACATTTCAAGGGAGGCAAGGGTTAAAGAGAGGAAAGCTTACTTTCCATGGTACAATTCTGCAACATTGAACACATGAGTTGCCAGACCAGTGGTTTTGTGGAGTCCAGAGCCCAGTGCCAGATGCTTCAAAGGAAGGTACAAGAAAACCTATGGAGACAAATTAATTAATAAAATGTATTTAGCTAATAGGCCCCCAGTGCTGTGCTGGAATGAAAGTGTAATAAGGTCTACTAGTTACTTTGCCATAGATAATTTTAATTTGCTGCTGTTCTGATTTTTTATCAGTGCCCCACTCCCTTCTCCCCCCCCCCCCCCCCCCCCCCCCCCCCCCCGTGTTATCAACTCCTGATAATTAGTTACTGCTGGATAATTTGATAATTTAGTCGTTGGTTATATGCTTTCTCTTAGGAGTGGTGAATTAACCAAAGTTTACCAGAACAATTCAGGTGTAGTGCCTAAAGCTCTTCTGCATTCCCACACCCACATTGTCTTCCTGCAACTGCCTGTTACCTTGAGAGAGATTTTTGAGCCAAACAGACCAGCTGTATTCTTCTGCCTCAGAATGAAGCTAAACAGTGAACTCCAAAGTCCTTAATGTACCACTTCAAAAATCAGTCGCAGGAACAGAAAACAAACGGGCAGCCTCTTCTATTAACCTAACCACAGTTTTCCTTCCTACTCTTCCTGTTTAAGTGAGCTGCAGGTGAGCTGTCCAGCTTCAGCTGTTCTTCTGCCTGCTTTATTAACATTTGCCTTTTCACAGAATCCTTCCATCAGGACTCAGTGGGTGGGGGTGGTTTTTTTTATTAGGCTTCGCTATCTATGGATGTTCTCATTATCATTATAAATGTGTAAGCTTTTGTGAATCCTGCTAAGCTCTTGGTTTTAATGATAACCTGTGGTAATCAATTCCTCAGGTTAATTATGCTCTGTGTTTAAAAAAAACCAAAAAAGAATGAAGTATTTCTTTGCATTCATTTTCATTTCTTCTTTTCAGTTATATTGAACATCCCTTTCTCCTGTTTAATCAAAGAGGAAACGAAGGCACCTGATTTGTTTTAACCATTCAGTACTTTCCAAATCTTCCCTGGAAATCTCCGTATTAATTGGCAAATGACTCCTGGCCTATAAGCATTTCTTTGGTTGTCTGCTTTTGAAACTGTTCTGTTTTACTATGTTTTGAAATAAGGTGTCCAGAAGCAACCACAGTAACTGAGGATGTGATATCAGTTTTAATAATGCCATTTTTTACTGTTTTCAGATTTATTTTTATCTCATTTTTAGACATCTTGTTTGCGTGTTTGGTGACCACTGTTGTGCACTGAACAGATGTTTTCATAGAACTGCCCACGGTGATACTGGAATATTTACCCTGAGCAATTACATTAAAGTTGCAATTTACATATATTTACAATTATTCCCTCAAGTATGCTTTCCTTTCCTTTTGCTAATACCAGATTTCATCTTCCATTGTACTGCCTATTTTCCAGCTTGATTAGATCCCACAGAAGTTTATCCCAATCTTTTTTTTGTCTTGGCTAACCTACATCATTTTATTAGATGCACATTTTCTACCTCACCATTTTTTGAATTCTTTCCAGATCACTAAGAAATATGTTCAACCATGCTGATACCATATAAATCATTGGGCACCCATTACAGATGCTCTCCTGGTTTGTCCCCTATCATGTTCATTTAGGTATTTTGTAACTTGAGCTTTAGTTATTGTTTCAACCTATTTACCTGGTGTTGCTGCACATTCTTAAAAGTTAGGTACTCTACAATATTTGCTGTCCTCCAATTGCAGCTAACTACAGCTATAGGCTGTATATATTTTGCTAGCAGCATAGCTACTTTATTCTCAGATTTTTTCAGACCTTTTGGCTACATGCCATTCTAGTGACAAACCACCTATCAGTTTATTCCATTGTTGTCTTTTCTGATGCTCTGAAAAGAGTAGTCATGCAGTGGGATTCTCCTTTGAATCTTCTGCAGTGATAACCAAAGCTTGAGAAATCATTTAGTTTCTCTGCAATGTTGTTCTCCTTTTGCCTCCTTTCTCACTATGAGGGTGAGAAGCTTTGGAACAGAATACTTAGAGCAGTTGTGGAATCCCCATCTTTGGAGATCCAGCCTTGGTTAGATACACAGTTGACTGAGATGGCTTAGTTGGCTAAATCAGCTGCCTTGAGCAGCGGGTTGGGCTACATGACCTCATGAGGTCCCTTCCAACAGTACTGTTCTATAATTCTAGGATTCAAGGATTTTATTTCACTGCTTCTTACACCCTCCATTTGTCTATCAGACCCTGCTCCTAATAAGTATAAAGACATATTTGATATTAACTTTTTCAGTTTACTGCTCAGATTCCTCCTCAGTCATCCTCCTTGCCATCTTTTGAAGCTTTGTTTTTATTGAGTAATTTCTTGTCCCTTGTCATTTAGTGATACAGTGTATGTGTTTGCCCTCCCCTGTCCTTTTTGCTTAAGGGCAGTGCATACCTCTTGTGACTCTGCTGCGCTTGCTTGAAGTATTCTCCAGCTTGAGTGTAAAAGACTTTAATTTTCTTGTTTTTTGAAGATGGGATCCTTTCCGACCACTTTCTTCATTATTATTATTAGTAGTAATAGTAGTAGTAATATTATAATCTTCTTTTTTAAAGTGCAAAAGGCACACTGCCAGTTGATGGCGTACTATCTCTCAGAAGAATGTTGATCTTAATTGTACAGCCACTACTATTACTTTATGCCTTAGACTTTGTTACTTCCTGAATTGAATTCTCAGTGTTACTAGAACTCAAGAGTAGACTCTAACAAAGCACAGAACCTGCTATGCCATAGAGTACTGTTAAAGATGCTGAGAAACTGTTTTTTATAAGTCTTGTTAGGTTGTGACATAGGAACCCAGGACTGGCAGGGGTCTCTTGGACCACTGAGTCCAGTCCTCTGCATCTGCAGGCAGTTGTTAACCCAAGAATTCCCCAGAACCATGACTTCAAACCCTTCAAACCCTCACACACCACAGGTACAAGGAACAACATGAGAAACACTAAGATTGCTCTATAATTTCCACTAGGTAAAAGCAGAGGAGATGAAGGAATTGTCTATGTCCTTCCACTGTAAATGGAAACAAGTAGTTGGTTAATAAATACACGCTTTGAGGATCCTGGGAAGAGGATCAAGCTCCTTACTACACATGGTATTTAATCAGTTCAGATGCAGGTAGCTGAAGTTGCTTGTTATTACTGTTTTATCAGTTATGTCACTTGTATATTTAATATCCCTATCCAGAAGCCACTAATAGAGCCCAGGGCTAATATACTTAAGTTTTTATAGCTTGGAATTGTATCCATACAGGATCTGTTCTGTGCTACTGTCCACCTACAAATTTGATCTCATTACATTCTGGGGATTCTCTCAGCTATCATGCTGTTATTCTCAATCTGTTCTTCCTGTATTGTTTGCTTATAGTAGTCAAGTGTGTATGTGGTGCCATTCCAGCATGTATCAGCAAGGCTGGCTTAGCCAAAGCCCTCTTCCATCACAAGGTGTTCCTGTTCTTCCCACGTAGGTTGGGAGTTTCTCATGTTGGTACTGAATATAGACTTGTATCACAATTATTTTAATATGCAATGTGCCTTTTTATTCAATTTAATCCTGTCCTAATACACTGTCACTGCTTCTGTGCCACCTTGACTAGATGCAGATACCTGTGTGTTACTGACATGGCAAGTGGATGTCTTTGTCTGGCTAGAGTGTTCCCCCATGCTTTCCAGATGGGACTGTACTCTGGTGAATTCTGTAGTGCTGGGACCATGGAATATACTCTGTACTGGTCATGCACATCTGGGATAAATGCATTTGTCCAACTAAACCATACTAAACACTGCATAAATCAGTAGTGGTATCACCCTGGAGTGAGTGGTTCAGAGTAGGTCTAAGCATCAAATGTTGGAGTCATAGGAATCACTGATTTTGACACCTGGATGCTGTATATGGACTTTCACCCTTTGTGAAGTAGATGGATGGAGTTCCATGTGTATTGACCTGTGGGCTGAGATCTTGAAAGCTAAGGCAAGCCCTGTCTGCATGCTTGTTTGCTCAAGGTACCAGGACACTATAAAACTACAGGAGTTTACTGGGTGCTCTTGTTCTGCTCCTGTCCCCAGGCATCATGCTTTCTGTCCAGGAGTGCCTTCCTCTGTGTCCTGCTATGTGTGAATGCTATCTGAAGTCTCTGGAATCCTTCAAGAAAAGAGAGAGGTTTTTTTATCCTGTTAAAGCCTGCAGTAATTTGTTTTACGGAAGCCCCTTCTGAGAGGCTGTGCCAAGGGCTTCTGATACGGGCTGCGGGACGGGACTCCTGCAACTCAGTCTGCTCAATGGCTCTAATGCCGAGGTGTAACCTGAAACGTTGGTGCTTTGGGCAGCACAGAGGGTGTGGTGAAAGAACTGAAGCAAGCCCTTACCTCCTGGCACATGGACTGTGGCAACACAGGCTGCTGCTGCCTCATTGTAAGATTTGCTGCAGCAGCCGGGGGTAATATGAGCTCCCTGGAGCTGCCACTCTGATACCCTGTTTGCCCCCCACAACTTATGCTACTGAACTTAATGCACATCTATTGCCTTAGTAGCCAAAGGGGTAGCCACATTCCCCTACCCTTTAAGTCATGGAGCATGAAGAAACAGTTTTTGGGGTGCTGCAGTGGAATCCGGTAGCTAGGATTGAGCATGGAAAGCTTGGCTAGTTGTCACAGGGACAGAATGGTGTTGAGTCCTTGTGCTGTGAAAGCACCCCTGGCTCCCTTTGCCCCTGGAACAGCTGGTGTGCCTGGAGCCCTCCTTTGCCATCAGGCCGTTCTGTGCCCATGCTGCTTATGGCTCCAGTACAAATCATTGGCCTGTCTGCCTCAGCTGTGCAGCACTGAGGCAATGCTGTACTTAACAGGGCTTTTGCTTATACCCCTGGGGCACATGCTGGTTCTGGGTTTTTGTTTTTTCTTGTGGGTCCTTTCTCTCTCTTGTCTGCCTCTCCCCTTCTTGTTCTGGCTTCTCATTTCTGTTCCCAGTCCCAGGTGAAGTGTCTGCCGTGCAAAATAGACAGTGATTCTTTATCCATGGAGCAAGGGCAGCAGCTGGGGGAGGAAGGAGAAACCTACCCAGCCAGCCCCTTAGTTTTGCCCTGCCTGCATGCTGCGCCCCTGCTCTGGAGGGGTGACCTCTATGGGCAATGGGAGGGGAGTTCAGTCTCCATGCCTTCCCGCTCCATCCTTGTTGGAACTGCCTTCCCTTCTGGAGTCAGCAGTTTCTTGAAGTAATTGACAAGAGGTGCCGCGGAGTTGCTGAGTCAGGGAGAGCTCTGCTTGCCAAGTGACTGCAGCAGAAGGAGGCTGTTGCTAGTCTCCAGTGGAGGGAAGCCAGCCTATGGTGGGCTCTCCGTCTGCCTTTGGGCCCCCTTTCCTTTGCTTGTGCAGTCAGAGGTGCACCAGCAGCAGCAGCGATGCTGTGTGTGAGGGGACTGCATCGGTGGGGGGATGAGGGGAGGGCTAGGGATGGCTGTTCTTTTGGCACAGGACCAGGAGCTGGGAGGCCTGGGCTCCGTCCCCTGACTGCTACCACTGAGGCAATGTGCATTGCTTCAGTTCTGTGATGGCAGCAA